CGAGGAGCGGCCTGGGGGGGCGGGAGGCGAGGAAGGGCACCGCCGCCGCCTTGCTCGTAGGTTGGAAGTCACGTTGAACGTTTGGAGCGGCGCTCTGAGAGCGGAGCCTCCTTCCCCTCCAGCACGCTGCTCGGTTGGAGTTGCCCACCCCCCTCACCCCGTTTCTTTTTTTCCCCTCTTCACTTCAATTTTGCCGCAGTAGCTTAATGAAAAACGAAGCGGAGCTGAAGTCTAAGGGGAACGCTCCACCCTGCCAGCCCGGAGACTTGGGTTTCGCTCGGGGCTGGCAGCGCGCAGGCTGGCTTTGGAGGCAGCTGGAAAGGAAAGGCAGTAGTTTTGTCACATAAAAACAAGCCCTCTGTTGCTTGGGGAGCAGCGTTGAAAATCCTTTTCCTAAAGGGAACCTTCTCCTTTTCCTTCCCCGACAGAAAGGTAGTAAAAAGCAGAGAGGAAATGGGACTCAAAATCTTGTCGTGGCTTTTTGATTTTTTTTTTTCCCTTCCCTAGAAGAACTGTTTGTAACTCAGATTCTCAAGTGTGGCCTACTCGCCGGCTGGTGGATGTGTGCCTGTTCCTCTTGACACGTAGGCATTGGTAAATGGATAGTGTAGGTTGGATGCTGTTTGATAGTGGGGTATTTACTGCCCGATTATGTAATTTGCCTGCATTATTTCTCTGGTGCACTACAGTATCGCAGGGTACAGCACATAGTGCAAAACTGGCCGGGGCTGAAACAGTGGTGCGTTCCTCAGGCTTTTAATTACATTAAACAAACATTCCTTTAATTAAAGGTGTTTGTTTAACATTCCTCATGACAGCTCTTGGAAAAACCCACACACCAGTAGGGAGCACAGGGGATGTAGGCTTCTGACTTCTACTGAATGAGATCTTAAGCTTTCGTGGTGAGCGGGGGAGAAGCGTCTGGACCATATGGCTATATAGAAAACTGGCCAAATGTGAACTGTTGCAGCGCTGGCAGACCATCGTGGTGCCTCCGCTGCTCAGAGGTTTGTTTTTTGTTTTTTTTTGTTTTTTTTGTCTAAGCAGCAGCAGCAGCACAGTGAGTTGACAAGATTATGGAGAGATTTATGGATGACCGGTCAGGAAAACGTGGAAGTAACAAGTCATGCTAGTTGCCCTCTGCTGCTGTTTGAGATACCAGAGAGCAGGTAGGCCCAGGGGGTATTTGGGTGGACGAGAGATGATTGCAGAAGGAGTAATTCAGAAGACTGAAGAATTCAGTCAGGAGGAATTCAGAAGACTGCACCCATGTGCATTTGTGCTACATGGGAAGACAGAAGTAATAGAGACCTTTTTTTTTCCCCAGTAAGCTGGAAAGTTTTGAGTTGTGCAGAACAAGATCACAGACTTAACGGACACTTCAGCTCTGCTTGCACAAATCTTTTCCCCACAAAAAGCAACGAGCGTTGTCACTGGCATAGGAGTTTGCAGTAATGATGATGAGAGTGCTCATAAAAATCAGTGGCTTTGGGTATTTAGATGCTTTCTTACTTGCGTGCGTGACGTTAATTGCTTCGTTCACAGACTTCCATTGTTATTAACAATGGAAAGCCCTGAAAGTCTTGGACAGAGGAGGCCTTAGTGGTTATCTGCTGCGTGGTAAAAAATAGCTCCTCAGAGCTGAGGTAACGAAAGTTTCCTGATAGAAATCTTAGTGTCCTTCCTCCTAGTTGTTACAGCTGGACCTCTCGCTAGAGGTGGTGTGGACCTCACATGTACGTAGTAGTGTCAGGAAACTAGTGCATGTCTTTCATTTTGACCAGTAGTTCCCCAGCTGTAGGGTTACCTGCTCTTGCTCTGCCGAGGCATGGTGAACGCTACAGAAACGCAGGATTTGGCAAATACTGCTGTGCCAATCCGCAAGTGGAGCCCGTGTGGGTCGGCCTGGTTCAGACGGCAGACACGCTGTGTGGGCACAGCAGCTGACATCATTTGCATAAAGACCATTTATATCCTCAGATTCGTCTGGTAATTTTTTCTTTGTGTATGCTGTGCCATTGTGATACTCTCTAGAATTAGCTAGCTGCTGCATTTTTTCATTAAATTTGCTTCCTTTGATGTGGACCTTAGCGCCTTTATACTTTCTAGTGCTGCAAGTAAATTTTGCAGCATTTAAGGGCAGAACGCGTCAATAAATCATGTAGTCTGACCTGCATGTCACAGGTTATTGTGCCTCCAATAACTTGTTATGCCAAAGCCCGACTTGTAAGTAGCCAAGGATGTTTTTCTGGAAGGCATGCTTATCTTAATTTGAAGGTCTCAAGAGATGGCTAAACCACCAAGAAGCCTCTGGAAGTTGAAAGTTGGGGTAACTCGACTGAAGAGGCCAGATAAAAAAGCTCATCCTTCAGTTTCAAGGCTTACATTTGGTGTCAGGGTTCATTTCCACTAATTCTTTCTCTCAGACATATCACTGCCATGTTGCCTGGCAAGTTTTTGCAACTGTAAAGGTGTCAGATAAATGATAACTGTGAATTTCTGGAATAATTCTTTGTAGCTGGAAAGTTACTTTCAAACACTGCATAAGCTCCAGTACTTCTTACTCCATAGATATCTAAAGTTTTGCAAAGTGAATGGCAACTTTTTGGGCTTTGATTCAAACTTTTTTTCTTAATTTATTAACTCGTGTTTTCCTGACTTATTCCACATCTTTCGAGGCATGTTCTTACTTAAGAATGCATAACGTATCTTAACTGATTCTCAGCAGCCAAGAGTCTTGACTTGTTAAATTTCAACTGCCGTTTCTCATTTGTGGAAACGGATGCTGAATCAGCAGGACAAGCCTGCATGCAGACGTGGGATTGAATGGCTCGGGTGGCTTGCTGTTCGGGGGGGTTTTGAGCACCTTACTTCTCCCCGCTCAGATCTAGGCCAGGTAGCCGTTGAAACTTGTTGCTATACAATGGCAAGAAGTCTCCTAAAAATTATTTGATTCAGCCATTGAGATGTGTATGAAAATTAGTATCTACATCACTGCAAACAGCGTCACAACCCGCGCGCCTCTAGGCAGCTGCCTGGAAGCACTGTGGGAGGAGGATAAATTATACCTTCAGTCCTTTAGAGTCCAAATAATGGAGCTTAATATGTAGATTTGCCCTGGCAGGAAATGGAATTCCCATAAGCGTCCTAATTCATGCTCAAGGCTAAACCTGCAGCACGAATTGCAGCTTATCCATATGTGCTGGTAGGTGGTATATCCATATGTTGAGGTAGACCTGATCCAGTGGTCATGCAGTCCCGAGTTCTTTCCCTGGTTTGCCAGATTTGTGTAAACTGAGGCACCTCTGCTCAGACTCTACAGTACCAGAGCAGTCTCGCTGGCTTCCTCTTGACTATCGCTAGATAAAATTTGCTGTCTTTTGCCAACTCCACTTCATGCCTAAACTTTTCATGTGCTGTACGTAGAACTCAGACGTGTAACGTAGGCGTCTCTCCTGAGCGTCTCGAAGCCGTTGTTTAGGAATCCACGTTCTTCAGTGGATCTGATCCATAGAGATGAAGTAACTCTTTAGGGAGGAGTTCGTAGGAACCCAGGTCGGGGTGAGCTACGGTGTCAGAACGGGATGGGGAATTTGGTCTCTGTTGCCCACGCTCTTGTTTCTTTGGATAACTGGGAGCTGTTTTCTTGAGGTTTTTGTCTTGTTTTCTATTAGCACCAAAATCTCTGCTCATTTATTATACTTTTGTCGAGTCTGTTCTTCGTTTCCAAAGAAAAGCAGCCACTAACTAAGCGTGTAAGCACTCCATTTTTGCCTGCTCAGCAGTGGAAATGCTGGGTTTTGAAAACCACGTACTAATTTTAGGAGCTGAAAGGGCTCCTAAATCCTGAACGTTGCGGTACGTTTTTAAAAGGCAAGTTAACAAAAGAACTTTACCCGTGTCTCTTAGAGGTTAAAAATAGAGGTTTAAAAAAAAAAAAAGATTGAGGGCTTTTACACTTTCAGTTTTAAAACATCTTAAAAGATTTAAATTTGAGGAAAGGAAAAAGGGCATAGAGCTATAGTAAATGCCTGCTCCTTCTGGTTAGCAGACTTCTAAACAACGTATTTGGTTAGACAGTGTTAATAGTGCAGCTTACCTTGTTCATGATAACATCCGAGTAGTAATTTTATCTGCGGGGTGACTCAAAAGAAAAATTCTGATGGCAGACAAACAGTTTGAATCAAAGCTTAGCAATATAAAAATAAACATTTACTAGAGAAACAGAATGCATATGCTGACCTTGAATTCGAAGACCAGCATGAAATTACCTGATTAAAGTATCTTCACTTTTTACCTCAGTATCATGCTTTTCTAGCATATTTTTTTCACAACTCCTCTGCATCCTTCAGTGCTGCTCATGGTGTGGCCAGTAGTTTTGTTTACTGCACAAGTCGATCATTGTTGAAGACAGAATTACTTAGGTTCCTCGTGGACTTTCCTGTGACATTTGTGACGACAGCAGTTGGGTGCTTCACAAAGGTAGCGCGCTAGTCGGGCAAGGGGCTGGCGTTGTTTTGAAATAGGAAACTGTGTCAGAGAGGATCAGAATTATTTACAGATTTTGAGTGGGCAAACTGATATGCGCAGAGCCTTAATTTTCCAAGATACACAGCGCATAATGTACACAGAGGATAGCTCTCATTGACCTCAGTTGCTGCTAATTGTGCTCCTGTGTACTAACAAATTGGACGTTCAAAAAAAAAAATGCAAGGCAGACTTGCACCAAAAAAAAAAAAGAAAAAAAAAAAAAGAAGGGAGCAGCTGAAATGACTTATCCTGGTGCTGACAACGATGGGATTGTGTCTTCCAGGGCAGTGTTCCTCCATGTGAGATTCTCCTTTTCTTCCTGCAGCCTCAGTCACTTCACATCCTCCAAATCCTCTACCAAATGTACAGGGGTCTTTCGCTGTTACGTGAAGAGCACTACTGCTCTGCTCCATCCCTGGACAGATCCAGAGTGTGTGCTGAGTGAGGAAGGTAGCCTTTGGTAAAAGGCGCATTGGAAGACTGAACTACAATATATACATAAAAGGTAGCTGGATTAATACTGCATTGGAATGCTTAATTATGGCATTTCTTGTGTGCGCACTTAAAATTTGAAACCTTGTTTTCTTTTTATAAAGAGGGCCTGTTTTTATTCTAATACTTGCTTTTCTTTCCAAAGCAAACTTCAAAAATAGTTTGCAACATTGAACCACCCACATGGGTGATAAATGCAGATCTCTGCCATTTTAGCAATTTAAGTAACAAAGTAATGGTAAATGATCCTTCTCGGAGGGTTTGCTCTTGATGGGAAAGAGCTTGTCAGCAAACCCGTGGCATTTGGTGACCACTGCAAGGGAATGGTCGAATGAGGAATTTGGAGTTCAATTCCAGGTTCTGAACAGGTGAACGCTATGATTTTTTTCTGCCCGTTTTCGAGCCAAAAAGGTTGTTCCCCGCACCCTCCCCCCCCCCGCCCCCTTCTGCCCTAGCTCCTGAGATCTGGCTCTTTCCCGATCCCTTACTCAAGCAGTTTTCTTCCCCCACTTTAGATCCTTATTGCACCCATCTTTTCATCCTGCTACTGCCTCCGAATCCTGCTCTCCTCCTCTTGCCTCCGTATTCCCTCCCAGCCTGGCTCATCTTGGCCCCCGACTCCCATAGCTTTTCCTCGTTCTTCCACTCGTGTCCGTTTCACAGTTGGCTCCTTGACCTGGGACTTGTCAACCAGAACCAGCATCTTTTCCTTCGGCCTGCCAGGAGGAACGCCGAAAAGGCGGCAGAGAGCATCTGCGTGCGCTCGGTTTCGTGACTCTGCGGAGGTGGCACGAAGCAGAGGTCTGAGCGAAAGGGGTGTTTTTGCTCTAGGTGGGATGGCTCTGACAGGCCCCCCTATACAAAGGAGCTGCATGATGATGAAATGTTCTCAGCAAGGCTATAATCTGAGATGTTAGTTACTAACAAAATAAGTCTGAAGTGTGAACAAATTGATCGTTCCCCCCGAGCTTATAGCTTTGCCAAATTTAGGCAGATTTTCATGTTATGACAGCATATCTAACACTCGGCACCCCCTCCCATATGAAGTCTCTCTTCAAAGATTTCTGAAGAGAAAATTTTTTAATTTAAAAGAAAGTAATAATTATAGACACAAAAAAAGCTTTCTCTTAGCCTCATTCTTGGAACTGTTTTGGGTGAAGTTTTCTGGAAAAAAAAAATCTGTCCAAAGCAGACAAATTTCAAGGAGAGTTTTGCCTTTGCTAGCTGAAACGTGTTAACAGTTTTCAGTTGGCCAAAACAGGCTCTCCTAATGGGAAGTGTTGGCAACTGTAAATACATAGTTACACACAGCAGGTTAACAGAGAATCCAGAGGGAGGATGCCAGTACTTATGTTAACATAGATAAGTTTAAACATTTTCTGTGTGTTAATACCTACTTGTCATACTTCTGTATGCCACATACATATCTGAGCACCTTACCTTCCTGTTCAAGCAGACGTAAGGTCACTGGTTCTGTCCGGAGTGGTGGTGGTAGGAGATAGGCATTGCCAGTATGTCATTTTTGCATATCAGAATGCAAGTGCTGAAAGCTCTACAGAGTTCCCTTGTCAGAAGAGGAAATATCTTTCACCTTTCAAATGAGAAAGAAACTTAGAAAAGATGTGTTGGTGTACTCTCACTCCAGCGGCTGCCCGATCGTTTCCACTGTTTCGACATGCTCCCATCTGAAGGTGTGCGCCAATAGTTTTGTGACCTTCTTTTTGGTACAGGCTTGCTGCTTGTACTGCTGTTTTCCTATTAGACGACACAGTGGGATACTTTCAATATACAAAAAAATTATTTTTTAAATGAAAAGTTCAAACTTGCCATTGTATGGGGAAAAAAAGATTAAAACGAGCACTTCTAAATTCTTCCTCTAGCAAGCCTGAGCCTTTTCTTGTATTGATGGCAGTTTGCAGCAAGACGCTAGCAGTGTCTTATCGACTGCATGTTCTCACTTTTTCTTGTCTAATGATGTGGAAGTTGAAGTCAATTCTTTGCTAATATTCAGCTGTTGTTCTTAATACTTGCATGTAAGTCAATGTGCTGTGTCAGGTATCTGATGAATTACCTCAAATCCCAACCACCTTAGCACTTGGAAACACGTGAAGTGCCCTTTATTATTATTTGATATTGAGAGCTTTGTTATTATTCACCGAAAGATCTGAAGTTAGCAAAGGCTTGGACTAGAATCAATTTTCTGTAGAAAAGGCATGAAATTGTTTCAGAGGCTCTTCAATGTCCAAAGCCACCCTTTTGCAAATTAGTAAGAAAACCAATTAATGAATTTCATATAACAAGTTGTATTTCTACAGTGGACATAATGGGCCAGGCTGGTCAGAGAACTATGGCAGGGTGTTCACTTTGAGTTTTGGGGTTGGAGGAGCGGGTTCAACCCAAGTCTTGAGGTTCCTGTTGGCAGCCAAGGTCGTGTGCTGGTAACGATCCAGAAATACTGCTGTATGAATTGGCAGAAGGGAACATGACTGGACAGGGGAGAGCGTTTTCTCATCTAGAGAGCCCAAATGCGTTGCTTCCGTTGCTGTCCCTGATAAAGTGAAGGAAGAGAACAATGACTAACGTCAGGTCTGCTACTTAACGAGCCAGGCGACACCACTGACTTGTGAATTCAACACTGTAATTGTAGAATTGACTTTCTCTGCCCGTATCCTAGCCTCTGAGAGATGTAAGCGGTCAGGGACATAATTGTGAGGAAATAAGAACAAATCAGGGAGCGGTTGTGTGTGTGTGTGTGGGGGGGGGGTTGTTTGTTTGTTTTTGTTTATTTTGGAGAGCTGCAAGAATGGAGAGATAATATTCCCGTCACAAAGCAAGCCATGCATTTCATTAGGAAGCATATTAAACTGTGTTTCATATGTTGTTTGTTAGCTTGTACTTTATTTATACAGCTCTCTTACAGTTATTTCTATTGTCTGCAATAGCCTTTCACAATGTTGAGAATGCTAACTGTTGCTTTAGGCTTTTCTTTTCACTTAGGGTGCTGTTTATACCTTCTTTTGCTTTCTCAACCCCCCCTTCCTGTGCTTTCAGTAGGGATTATATACATCAGTAAAGACTTCTGGCTATTGGCTGTGACTGGCTATTGTAGCTGGCTGACTTGGTTACAGTTTACCTTCCGTAAATCAAATGCACACCTCCTGTTTACAAGACCTTTCTTCTGGAAGTTTTTGTTATCATAAAACCAGCACGTTTTTTTTCTCTCTTCTGCTAAGGCCAAGTTAGCCCTTCCATTTTGTAACACCCTTCAGCACTGAACGAGCTTTCCCTGTGGCCTTTACAGATTGTCAAGGCTTCATTTCCCTGTGGCTCCATCTCCAGCTTGCAGACCTTCTCGGTTCTCCGTTGCAGAGTTTTTCTTTGTCCAGTCTCCCATCTAAACGCTCTGGTTATGTTACACTGCTCTGAAGGAGTGGTTTTGAGAGCAGTTGGAGGCACAGCGCGCACCACTTCCTGCCTCTCTGCAGTCCATGTGGCTGTCACACAGCTAGCCTGGTGACCATCTGCAGCGTGTTGTATGTGGGACCCAGTCTACCCTGTGCTTACGAGAATGCATTTGTTTGCAGTTCTGGTTTGCAAGATGCCTGGCAGATAAAGTTGAGAATGTCCCTGAGTTGCCCTAAAGATCAAAAAGTGTGTCGATGTAGCCTCTGTGGACAGTTCACTGATATATCTTGTGTAGTTTCCTTAAAGGGGGGGAGGCAGCTGAGCCAGGTCTGCTTTCCAATAATCTGTTATATCACGTCCCTTGGACTGACAGGTGAAAAAGGCAAGTTGAGCCTAAACAGTGATTTCTTACAGTCAGCTTGTGTAGGTGTTGTCCTGGGAGCATCTTATAGATGGCTACCCTATGAAGTTTTTGAAGTTCTGCATCCACAATTCCTATCTGAAAATCTGGGCTGTAAAACTTTGACATACATTTGCTATTTTATATTCTAGCAGCGTTACTCTGTCATATATGTGGTGGTTACGTTTAGTTTACTGGTATTGTAAGTCTAACTGTGAGAACATGGAATTATGGATGTTTTCTTTGGCATCAATATTCTTAAGTAGTTACCAGCAAATCTCTCCAGATGGTAAACTGTACCACCAAGAGAGTGAGAATAGGAAGATCTAGAGAGGAAAAAGATGGCAGTTCCTGCCTACACTTAAGCCAATTTTGCTTTGTGTGCTCATGGTATAACAGATGTCTTCTTCTTTATGCAGGGCTATAACTGAAGTACAAGATGGCAAGAACCAGCCACAGCAACTATGTCCTTCAGCAGCTAAACAACCAAAGAGAGTGGGGCTTTCTCTGTGACTGCTGTATTGCTATTGATGATATTTATTTTCAAGCACATAAAGCAGTCCTTGCTGCATGCAGCTCTTACTTTAGGATGTTTTTTATGAACCATCAACACACTACAGCCCAGCTGAATCTAAGCAACATGAAGATCAGTGCTGAATGTTTTGATCTCATTTTACAGTTCATGTATTTAGGAAAAATTATGACAGCCCCTGCCAACTTTGAGCAATTTAAAGTGGCCATGAACTATTTACAGCTGTATAATGTACCTGAATGTCTAGAAGATATACAGGATACAGACTCATCTAGTTTAAAATGTTCATCATCTGCTTCCAGCACCCAGAATAGTAAAATGATATTTGGCGTGAGAATGTATGAAGACACGGTTGCTAGAAATGGCAGTGAAGTAAACAGGTGGGGCGTGGAGCCGCCAAGTTCAACAGTAAATACGTCCCATAACAAAGAGCCTGATGAAGAAGCCTTGCAGCTAGGCAGTTTCCCTGAACAGCTATTTGATGTCTGCAAAAAAAGCACCACATCCAAATTCTCTCACACAAAAGATCGTGTGTCCCATTCACGGCGTTTTGGAAGAAGCTTCACCTGCGACAGCTGCGGGTTTAGTTTTAGCTGTGAAAAGTTACTGGATGAGCACGTGTTAACGTGCACTAACAGGCATTCTTACCAAAGTGCCAGGTACTATGGTGCTGAAAAAATTGACTTTAACGAGAAAGACTCTTCTTCTAAAATACTCTCTGCACAAACAGAAAAATATAAAGGGGACACAAGCCAAGCTGCTGACGATTCGTCATCTCCTGTGTCAAACATTACAAGCAGAAAAAGCAGCACAGTTGCATCGGAGACGTCAGGTGAAGAAGGAAGTAGAGCCTCTGAGAGGAAGAGGATTATTATCAAGATGGAACCAGAGGACAATCCTGCAGATGAGCTGAAAGATTTTAATATTATTAAAGTGACAGATAAAGACTGCAATGAGTCTTCTGACAACGATGACCTCGATGATGAACAGGAAGAGCCGCTTTACAGATACTATGTTGAGGAAGAGATCAGGGAGAAGAGAAATGCTCGCAAGACTTTAAAACCCCGTTTATCCATGGACGAGGATGAAAGAAAATGTTTAAAAAGTCCACGGCACCTTAGCAGGAAAGCTCCTTCAGTGCAGGAAGATGTGGAGAATGCTCCCTGTGAACTTTGTGGGCTAACAATCACTGAGGAAGATCTATCCTCTCATTATTTATCCAAACACATAGAAAATATATGTGCTTGTGGCAAGTGTGGTCAAATACTAGTCAAAGGTAAACAGTTACAGGATCACGCACAGACCTGTGGAGAACCCCAGGATCTGACCATGAATGGTATAAGAAATTCTGAGGAAAAAATGGACTTGGAAGAAAATGCTGAGGAACAGTCAGAAATAAGGGACATGATGTTTGCAGAGATGCTAGAGGACTTCAGGGATGGTCATTTCCAAATGAACAGTCTTCAAAAAAAACAATTATATAAGCATTCTGCATGTCCCTTCCGATGTCCTAATTGCGGTCAGCGTTTTGAAACTGAAAACCTAGTGGTTGAACATATGTCAAACTGCCTAGAGCAAGATCTGTTTAAGAATTCCATTATGGAAGAGAATGAAAGAGATCACAGACGTAAGCATTTCTGCAATCTTTGCGGGAAAGGATTTTATCAGCGGTGTCACTTGCGGGAACACTATACTGTTCACACCAAGGAAAAACAGTTTGTTTGTCAGACATGTGGGAAGCAGTTCTTAAGGGAACGCCAGTTGCGGCTCCACAATGATATGCACAAAGGAATGGCCAGGTATGTCTGTTCCATTTGTGATCAAGGAAACTTCAGAAAACATGACCATGTACGGCATATGATATCTCACTTATCAGCTGGAGAGACTATATGCCAGGTCTGCTTTCAGATATTCCCAAATAATGAGCAACTGGAGCAGCACATGGATGTTCATCTGTATACATGTGGAGTATGTGGAGCAAAATTTAATTTGAGAAAAGATATGAGATCTCACTATAATGCCAAGCATTTGAAAAGAACATAAGCATAAACATACTGTTAAAGCATTAAGTTGTCAGCAGAGAGAACACCAAAGCAAGGCATACAGTATAGTAGACAAAATTGAAAAAATTATTGAAAATAAGTCTCTTTTTTATTATTATTTTTTTTTAAGACCCTCCTAATCATAGGTGTCTATTTAGGCTCATTAAGTATATAGCTTTGAAAAACATCATGTGTTTAATTATTACATTTTCACTGTTTCCTAATATCAGTTTCTGTTCTTAATTTTATTGTTTTACTAAGTAGATATACAAATCATTATTTTTAAACTGTAGATTAAAAGCACAATGTTACCCCTTCACTGACTGCTATTAAACAGTTCTCCGATCCATGTCCATAAGATGAGTGCTTTGATATTTCCCTGTGTTGTTTCTTCACGTGGAAATTTAACATGCAAGAGCATAATTGTTCATAATCCCCAAATTAATTTTGAAAATCAAAAACAATGCCAAGAAGTAATCCTTTGCTCTCTGACTCTGCTGTAAGGGCAGAGCCAGCTGTCCCAGTCCTCTGCCTCTTGGCTTTGTGGAAGTTTGCATCCCACTGTTCAGAACACACAGGCCCAGTTAAACCTTGCAGGCTTGGAGTGGTTGCGCATGAAGGGAAAGGGAATTAATGACTGTCACGATAACCAAGGAATTTCCAGCTGACTGGTCATTTTCCAGACTTGAAATTCCAGCAGAACTGTAGTGGGCGTTTCTGCTGAACAACTGACGTTGGCCTTTTTTTCTATGTGTACCTGCGTGGGTATATATAATCTGCTTATCATAATATATGAGGGAAGAGTGGTTACGGTGGATTGCTAGGAACGCAGAATTGTGATTTGCGTTGAAGACTGCATTTCTCAACCTAGCTGTAAATGGGTGCCTTGCTGTTTTTGTTGGAGAGTTGAAAGTGGGATGGGTGTGAAGACAGTCCCGTTGCTTTGCGGGGTGGGGGAGGGAAGGGGGAGTGCGGCTCATGTGAACCTTAGATTTTTTTGTTTCTTGTTTTCCTGATACTTTCTGAATGTTGTGTTTTTCAACAAGAATATAACAAGAAAAGACTGCAGAGTTTGCTTAATAAATGTAAAGACATTTTATGCCTTTTAAGATTTTTTTTCCTGATTCTAGCATAGCCCTAACCCGTGTAGCTTGTCTCTTAATTTAATTGAACTTAAAAATCCTACTATGTGTTAGCTGACATCAATTCAGTGAGGCAGTTTGGCCTTTGCAAGAACAACCGGCTTTGACTGTTAGGCACCAGCTGTCTCAATGTTTGCTAAGTGCATGATTTTTAATAGGGGAAAAAGCATCCTAGTATTAAGTGGTGGAGTAGCTACTAACAAATAAAAACCAGCAATACTTTCCCCTTGCAGATGTCACTTTATCAAAGTGGGCAATAACACTGTCCCCCTATTGAGCCACGGACAGAGGAAAGTAATTTAGATCACTTTGCAATGTCAGCGGTGGAGTTGAGAGTAGAAGCCAGGAATTGAAGGCTCAGTCCAGAGCTGTCACTACTGTGTCACTGTTAGGACTGAGTTTTGACACCTTGCCGTTTCAATTACGAGGGCTATCTAGCTCATAAAGCAAGATTTTAAACTATATAAAGAAACTAAAGCGGTGGATTATCTCCACTATAATCATCTAAATTAGTGCCAGTTCTCTTATATTTATTCATTTTTAAATGTGCGTTTGAATTTCTCTTGATTGTTGGAGATGTGGATCTCTTCTAAGGCACAGTGATGGAGAAGGGACCAGTGACCAGGCTTCAGTTCTGAACTTGCAGCTGGCTCTGAGAAGAGTGCTTCAGTTGCAGTTCGGACGTTAAGCGTTTTGCCATAGCTGCTTGGTCCTACATTTTTTTTTTTTGTATGGTGCTGAAGCCAACCAAGTCCAAAGTAACACTGGGACAGAAAACACCACTGACGTTAATGCACACTAGCATTTCAGTTATTTCAGAGCTTCTCCCTTCCAAGGCATATATTGCACGTTTCCCATCCCAAACTGAATTGAATTGGAGCTCAGCATGTAAGAGTTCAAAGAATAACCATATTTTAATGCTCTTTTAGCACTGGAATCAGTGGTAAGGAGGTGATTATAAGGATCTTCAAAAGACAAAATATTGAACTATCTATTAGGATTGTCTTTGAGATGAATAGTTGGTCAAGGCGGGTGCTGTAGTAGGAGGGGGAGGCTAATACACTTAACATACTAATTCTCTGACATTTAGGTTACCTCTTCAGACACCAACTCCAGCTGTGGAAAAGCAGCCAAGGGAGGCAAGGGCAAGGAGTGGAGGGTGCAGGAGAGTCAACAGGAGAGTCTTGTGGCACAGGGTGGGCTGGGAGATTTGGGAAGCTCACTGGGGGAGAGAGGGGCGGGCAAAGGCTGGCGGGGCCTAGGAGAAGAGAGAAACAGCCATGCAGTGGGGAACAGAGGGAAAAAATCCCAAAGGTGGAGAAGGAGCCTGGCGGAGTGGAAAAAATATCCTGTAGACGCCTCAACAGAGTGAGTACGTCTGGGCTCGGCTGGGAGAGCTGGCAGCTGCAAGTTCCCAGTGTGGGTTGTGTGCCAAGTGCGAACCGGCCTGGTGCTGGAAGCGCTGCAGCAGAACAGCAAAGTTGAGATTAAAGATTTTGTTGGGATGCAGGACTACAGAAAAGGAGGAGGTGACTTCTGCAAACTGAGAGATCATTCCAGAATACAGTCAAGGGCTAACAGTAATTTACAGCCACTTCTGCTCTAAGTCAAGAGCTCCTCTTTGAAATGTATTGATCTGAACTGACCCAAAAGCCAAAAGCTGTTTCACAAAAACAATTCACTTCCTAGTGAGTAGACCTGCCAACTAAATAAACTAAATTGAGGAAGTAGGAATGATGGTATTTATACATACTATCTTCCTTTTCAAACACTCTGGAATACCTCTTTTTTTTTTTCCATTATAAGCTATGTTGTAGTAACATCTCCCTTCTCAAGGAGGGTTTGATATAGCTGTCTCTAAAGTTTGTTAATACCTTTCCTGATGAACTTGATTTAATATTTTTCCTGCCCTTACGAAACAACAACAGTTCTTGAAGTTCACATGCATGAATGTCCAGACTAACACTCAAAAAAGCATGTGCTGCAGTGCAGCAAAGCTCAGAGGGGATCTACCTGTTTGGAAGCAGAGAAATAAAAAATTACTGAAAGAGCCCAAAAAGTGATAAAGGAGAAAATCTGAGAGCAACTCAAAGGTACTAAGCAATAAACAAGACAGCCTGGTTTGCAAGTAGGTGGTGAGAATATTTATGGTGACTGAATGCGTGCACAGGAACAGCACTGGAATACTGAAGAAAAGGGCTGGTGTGGCAGGAAGAATTTGGGTGGTGAGACCCCCAGGAAGGGGTGGGTGCTAGCCCACCTGGTGCTGGGCACTCCTGGGAGCGGGAGTATTCTCCCCAGAATGGCACCATGCCTGCAGGAGCCCAAAATGACGGTGTTTCAGCTCTCCTACTGTGATATCATTTTTAAAAAAATTACTCACTGCAGAGACAAAACAAAAGCAGACCTGAAAGAACAGCTGCAGCTACAATATCCTAGAATTATGATGGTTACTTGAAAGGTACTGAAAGGGAAGCAAAAATACCTCATTTAGAGTTCTGTTTCTTCTAACCAATTTGTACTTTTCAGTCATCCTAACACAGTTCCTTTGCATCTCCCTCTTGCGCTAGACAAGAGCGTTAGAATGTAAAACCTGTAAAGCACGTAGGAATCCTTCAGAGCGGACGTGTACGCATATCACGTTTGTACAAGGTATAGCTAGAAAGAAGCAAGGACTTGCTGGATGTTCTGTCTTATGTTTTTAAGTGATTTGCTATTCTTAGCTATAGAGGATCTCTTTCTGTTCTGCTGTTTTTCTCATTTTGATAGTGGTGTAGGCTACAACTCTGAAAATATTAGTAGCCCACCTAACTCTCAGCCTTCAGGATTTGTTGAAAGTTACAAAGAGAGAATTCATAATGATCTGGAATGAACTTTAACATATAACAAAAGCTGGCAAGCTTCTTTCTCAGTATCAGAGGGGCAGTTTCAAATGCTAAAATTATATATATTTGTAAATGCTTATTGGGAAATAGTTAATTCAAAGGCTATTCACATTTGTGCATAACTATTTGTAGTTAACAGGTCTGTGAGAAATCTTGACTTGAATAGAGCAGAATATCACAGTACTCAGAACTGTAAGAATTTCAGCTTCTGCTGCTACGGGGCTTCTCCTTTTAATATGTACAGTTAATGGAGAAAATACAATTCAGCATATTTTGATTTCAAAGCTGAAGACAGAAAATACACTGCCCTTGAGACTATATTAAAAATGTATTGTTATAGAAGTGAATGATTTGACTATGCTATTGTACTTGAACACACTAGCGCTCAAAGACCAAGGATATCTCAGTTATTGATAAGATGTAAAGGAGTTCCTAAGAGTGCTACCTTGAGCACTGGCAGCCCCTTCCTACTTCCCACTTAGCTTAGCTCTCCTGTCCGTTGTGTGCCACCCTCTTTGTTGTCCCAGCACAAGTTTTTATATAGCTTCACAATGACTGGGATCAAACAACGGACCTTTTTTTTTTTTTTTCCCCCCCTCCCTGTGGGACTACTTTTCAGCTGGATCAGTTTCCCCACTGTGCTTCACTCACTAGCTGTGCATCAAATCTTGTGCCAGCATGATCGGAGTGATGTGGGGGAGAAATGAGTGGCTGGGAGGGGGAGCCTTTG